AGTTTAAATTAACTGGATTCAAGGGAACAAACCAAAAGATTTAGAGGAATTTAAGTTTATTAGTTTCATTCAGAGCTAAAAACAGATTATTACCTAACATGATAACATGAACTCATTCAAAAAGTCACGGTGACCTCATGAGTTTCGGAAATAAAAAATGTTTGAGTGCACAGGTCAGTGGAAGCAAACCACCCCAGGGGAGTGTTTCTCATTTCTTCCTTATCTGTGTGTCCAGGGTCAGGGACGGAGGATGGGGTAGAACATGGAGCAACAGAAACCGTCGTAACCACAGCACTGAAGAAGAGGAAGAGGAGGAGGACGATGATGATGAAGACGAGCGATGTTGGAGCAGCGCTGACATGAGGAGGCTCGTATTTGCCAGGACGCACGCACCTGGTTCAGGTAAATCCGTTTCTTTTATCGTTCTTAGTTTTTCTTTCCCTCTGGTCGTTGCTGACTTTGTGTTTTTTTTTCCATAGAAGGCCCCTCCTCCCTAGGCTCCACCCCCTCCTGTTGCCATGCCGACAGACAGCTGGGGGCGGACACCTTGAGGCTGAGAGCTGGGCTTTTCTGTGTCTTCCCATATTTGGACTTGCGCTCGTTGCTGTGTGCGGCCGAGGTGTGCACTGATTGGCGGTTCGTTGCCAGGCACCCGGCTGTTTGGACACGCCTCTGGCTGGAAAACGCCAGAGTGTCAGCTGAGGTACAAGAGCCTTCATCATCATTATCACTTCTGTAACAATCTTATTGTTGTTTAAGTCAACATCATGAATGTTATCGATTCATTTTCTCATGTTCTGCTGATGTGTGTGTTTTGTGTGTAGTTCCTGATCACCCTGTCTCAGTGGTGTACGCAGACTCAGACTGTGGTTCTCAACAACCTGAAGCCACGAAGCAGACGAGCCAATGAGACGCGAGAGGATTACCACAGGAGCACCAGGTAACACACACGCAGAAGAGAAAACAGGAGTAAACATAAAGGTTCCTGAGCAGTTGTCTAGGTGCATTGTGGGTATTGTAGTTGACCTGGTTGTGTTTTGTCTCAGGGGCAGTCTGGAGTCTGGGGTGGAGGCTCTGCTGCGGTCAGCAGGGGGCAGTCTGCTCCACTTGTCTGTATCTGAGTGTCCTCACATCCTCACTGACCGGACGCTGTGGTTGGCCAGCTGCTACAGCCGCAACCTGCACACGCTCACATACAGGTGAGTGTCTCACTCTCTACCTGTCTGTCTGTTCACCTGTCTCACTCTCTACCTGTCTG